TCACTTTCTACTAACAAATTCTTTAACTAGTTCTCGTATATTCAATTTGTTTTTGTATAATTCCACAACGGTTGTGAATCAAACTTCCTCACTTATTATCTAATAACCAACATTTTTCAATTGGATGTACAGCCTGATTATTTATGTACTTATGCTGCTACTGTCACTGTCAGTTTATAGTCATTTTGCCTAATCTAAAGTGTTCTTAGTTAACAAAAAAACATTTGATAATTACAAAAAAATCATCTTCTTCATTCTTTTTTAAATCAATTTCTTTTAAATATTTTTTAGTAGAGATGATAAACAGATTGTCCTATGTCATCTTGTCTCGGACTGCAGCTGAATTTTCTTTTACGGATTATAGCGGGTCAGACCTACGCGGGCTGCGGTCTCTAGAATGACTATCCAAATTGGTTCCGCTATATGTACAAGCCTTTGCGGATTGGCCCACGGGACATATAATAATCCACGCAACAGAACAATTCAGACCATCCAAAACGCTTCAGGCCACTCTAAAATATAATTCAAACGTCGATTCAACTGGACATAATTCATCAGTCATTGCTCTGCTTATTTTTTATTCAAAGCAAGAATTTTAACTATTTGTATCACATCCAAAACATATTAATATACAAAGTAAAGATAATTGTAGAAGATATTTTCATTATCTTATAACTCATAAGTTCATAACCAATATTTTAGTTTGCTGAATCCAAAAATTAAATAAAATCAAACACCAAATCAAATGTCAATCCCAAATTAAATAAAAGAGAAATCAAATCAAAACACTATTAAAGCTCGAATTGTCATCGCTGGAGCTGAAGTCGTCATCACCGGAGCTCGAATCATTATCAGCAAAGCTCGAATCATCATCATCGCTCGAGCTCCTTACATTTTCTCAGGAAAGTCACATAAATCGTATTATTCTCACTCTTTCTCTTGTTTTTCATGTCAAACAAAAAAATAAAGAAAAAAAATGATGTTCCTTGTAATCCTGCGAGATCCGTTTCGGCTCATCCCGCAAAAGATCCAGTTCTGCAAAGACCCGTCCCGTAAAGCCCGCAAATTTGCAGACCTAGAAAACTTCGTCCCAATACCATCCCACGATAGTTCTTTACAAGCTAGGCCCACAGTCTAGATCCATGATTACCATTTCTATGTTTTAGTGATTAAAACCCTGAACTATTTTTCAGTCAAAAGAAAATTCCTCAATAAATTTTTTAATGTTTTAATGCCTCAACTAAGAAACCGATAATGTTTGACACTTTCCAGAAGTATAGACGGAGGGTGAAAGACGTTTAAGGTTTGTAAAATGAGACGTTAAAATATTAAAAATTAGTTACTGTTTTTTTACGATTCAAAAATAGTTTGAGGACTTTTATCACTACAAACCCTAATAATTACAAAGTATTCTATAATTATAAGGATGTCAAAAACACATCACTATAATAAACATTAAAATTATTAGTTTCGTTGTTAATGATATTACATTTGTTATAAATCTTTAGTTAAGGAATTCATCAAAATGTTTAATATGATTCACATAAGAACTGGAAGTAATAACCTAGTTATTTTAGAATTTGAATTTGAATATGAAAAGAAGTAGATTAAACCAAAATTGATTTGGTTTAAAACGGATTTGGTTAAGCTAAACTCACAAAAACTTGTCAAAGAGTCTTGAAGTCCAATCTTAGGTGACATTAACGTCACACAGTTAAACTCATCAATACATGTCATCTTTGCAAAATCACATTTTTCAGTCCATAAAATAATAACTAGGTCTGGACGTTTGGTGGTTCATTCGATTTCGGTTCGGATGATTCGGATTTTTGGATTTTCGGTGTTATGTTCCTAAGTACCATTCGGGATTTTACTAATTATCGGATCGAGTTTGGTTCGGTTCCTTCCGGGTTCAGTTCGGATCGGATCTAACCAATGTTTAAAATCGTCCCAAAAATATTTTTCAAAACCTTGAAAATTGACAAATTTTATTTCAAAATATATAAATTATTTACAAATATAATAAAAAAAAAAAATCAACTATCTAAATTAACTAAAAAGTATTCAAAATAACAAATAAGGCAAACTACAAAAATATTTGAATACTCTAAAATATCTAAATCACCTTAACATATATAAAAACAGTAACATATTTAACTAATTTCGGAAATCTTTGGATCCTAATTCTGATTTTGGTTCGGTTCGAGTTATAACCAAAGTCCAAAGTAGTAAGTTCATATGTCCCGTTCGGATACTTCTGTAAAACAGTTCGGATTCGGTTTCGGTTTTTTCGGTTCAGATTAAGTTCAGTACTTCGGGTTGAGGTAAAAACGCCGAGTACTTGAGTTTGCTAGATTTGTTATGGAATTGAGTTTGCTACTTGACGTTGATCTTACTTTTCTATTTATTACTATTTACTTTGTTTTGAACTTTGAATTTTAGTTTATTGTATTAGATCATAGGTCGAGATTTTACACTCAATAATATTAGGAATCATTACGTTGACTTAAAAAGAAAATAGACATGAATTTGGAAAAGTTTGAAAGTCGACAGGTTATGATCCATATCTATCATGGCGTATATCGTGGATCACGCTAAAAGCGGTAACACATGTTATTGTTCATGCTCATCCGTATTTTTGTTTATAAATACATACAACAACACAATTTCACTTCACACGGAGACAGAACACAGGTTCTCAAAGTCACTTTGGTGGAACTAAAAAAATGGCGCCACCGCATTTTCTAATGATAACGTATCCAGCGCAAGGTCACGTGAACCCAGCCCTCCGTTTTGCTCATCGACTCATCAGAACCACCGGTGCACGTGTCACGTTAGCCACATGTCTCTCAGCCTTCCATTGCTCTACTATCTCAAACCACGACAGCGTGTACAACCTCTCTCTCCTTACCTTTTCTGATGGATTTGACGATGGAGTCATCTCCAACACTGAAGACTACCAAAACCGGCTGCTAAACTTCAAACGTAACGGGGACAAAACGCTATCGGAGTTCATCCAAGCGAATAGAAACGGAGACTCTCCCATCGCTTGCGTGATCTACACAATACTTCCCAGTTGGGTTCCAAAACTGGCGCGTAGGTTTCACCTTCCCTCTGTTCTCCTATGGATCCAACCCGCTTTGGCTTTCAACGTTTATTACACTTACTCAACCGGACATAACTCTGGTTTCGAATTCCCGAATCTTCCCACTCTCGAAATCCAAGATCTTCCTTCTTTCCTCTCACCTTCCAACACTAACAAAGCCGTCCAAGCAGTGTATCTAGAGTTGATGGAGTGTCTCAAGGAAGAATCCAAAGTGAAGATCCTCGTCAACACATTTGATTCGCTCGAGCCAGAGGCCTTAACCGCTATCCCAAATATCGAAATGGTGGCTGTTGGCCCTTTACTTCCACCAGATATGTTCACAAGAAGTGAATCAGTTAAAGATCAAAGCAGTTATACACTTTGGCTAGACTCGAAAACAGAGTCCTCTGTTATTTACGTTTCTTTTGGAACAATGGTTGAATTGTCCAAGAAACAGATAGAGGAACTAGCGAGAGCTCTCATTGAATGGAAAAGGCCGTTTTTGTGGGTCATAACAGATAAATCAAACAGAGAGGCCAAAGTAGAAGGAGAGGAGGAGACAGAGATTGAGAAGATAGCTGGTCTCAGACATGAACTTGACGAGGTTGGTATGATTGTGACTTGGTGTTCGCAGGTGGAGGTTTTGAGACACAAAGCCGTAGGTTGTTTTGTGACTCATTGTGGGTGGAGTTCAACACTTGAGAGTTTGGCTCTCGGCGTCCCGGTGGTGGCATATCCTATGTGGTCGGATCAACCGACCAACGCCAAGCTGCTGAAGTATTTATGGAGGACGGGTGTGAGGGTGAGAGAGAATGAGGAAGGCTTGGTTGAGAGAGGGGAAATAAGACGGTGTTTGAAAGCAGTGATGGTAGAGAAGTCTGTGGAGCTGAGGGAAAACGCCCAGAAATGGAAGCGTTTAGCTGTTGAAGCGGGTAGAGAAAGAGGTTCTTCGGATAAGAACATAAAGGCTTTTGTGGAGTCTCTGTTCAATGAAGGAGAGGAGGTTAAAGAAAAATGAGTGTGTGGAGAAATCTAGCTTGCTCAACTAGTTGAAGACTCTTTCTAACCTTGTACCTCTGTTCATCAGTCACATTATAAATAAATAAATAAGGAATGCATTTATCTATGTCTTGAATGAATTTTCATAAAGTGAAACCAAAGGTAGTTAACTCTGGGAAAGATCTTGGCTATTGGTTAATTCAACTTTAAATAACGTTTTTTATATGGTTTTCTACTCAACATATTTTAGTCAAAATCTACATAAATTGTATACTTTGGTTAGAGGAGCTGGTATTAGCTCAACCAATGCATACCGTCACACCTTTAGTTGCAAGTATAAAGGAGAATTCCGAAGCAATGCACAAACTCTTTGTAAAGCCACCAAACTACACTTCTTTTCTTTCAAGAGAAACCTTTGTAAACAATCAATCATATCCCGAAAACCAAAACATCGTTGCTTTCCTAGACCAAATACATAGACAGACTAATGTCTTGGGAGTGGAAAAAGGAACCATGTCTTGGATGGTGTCGAAACATGCTCGTTTTCTAACGTTTGTCTTATCCTGCTTTGTTTCATTGATTCAGGGGATTTCTTGGCAATCACAGTTGGCATAAAATCGAGCTTGATTCAGTTCAGCAAGGAGAGACCCTGTGATCTAGTTTTACGTGATTTGAAAGTGTTCTTTGGTTAGCCAAGGAGAGACTTTGTGATTAGTATGGACGACAATGTATGACCCACCAAAGTCAACAACCATAATTTTCTTGTGGAACTAAACGAGTGTGAATGTAAATCAATAATTGTTGAAATCAAATAAACAGTATATCAAAATATCTTTTTTTTTTCTTGTAGACCAAAAAGAAACTGCATCTTCAATTATTCATCCACTCAATCTTGAATTTCTCTCTGATTTGCTAAGATCAGTAAAATTTCAGGTCTCTGCTCTATGTTCTGTAAATGGGGAACTGCGTCTCTGTCTCGATATCACCTGATCAATCAGTGAAAAAGGTATGTAAATGGCTAGACGTCAAGGTAGGTTATGTTCAAAACCTTGAGAAGAATCTATCGGCTCTAGAGACAACCATGGAAGATCTCAAGGCTAAGCGTGATGATTTATCAAGAAGGGCAACAAGAGAGGAGGATAGAGGTTTACAAAGGCTTTCTGAATTCCAGGTATGGCTTACTAGAGTTGAGACTTATGAAAATGAAGTCAACAATCTTCTTAGTGCTAGAAATGGTCAACTGCAAAGGCTTTGTCTTCTTGGTTTTTGCTCTAAGAGTTTAATACTGAGTTATCGTTATGGGAAAAGTGTTTCCATGACGTTAAGGGAGGTTGAGAAACTGAAAAGTAGAGTTTTCGAAGTGATAGTTGAGCAAGCTCACACATGTGAGGTGGAGGAAAGACAACTTCAGTCAATAATTGTTGGTCAGAAAGAAAAGTTGGAAAACGCATGGAATCATCTCATGGAAGATAGAGTTGGTATTATGGGTTTGTATGGTATGGGCGGAGTAGGAAAAACAACGCTTCTCACACAACTCAATAATAAGTTTGGTGACATGAGGTGTGGATTTGATTTTGTGATTTGGGTTGTGGTGTCTAAAGTGTTACAAGTAGAAACGATTCAAAGTGAAATCGCTCGGAAAGTCGGTCTTGGTGGGGAGGAATGGAAACAAAAAGAGAAAAGCCAAAAAACTGATGTTATATACAACTTCTTAAGGAAGAAGAGATTCATGTTGTTTTTAGATGACATATGGGAGAAGGTGGATTTAGTTGAGATTGGAATCCCGTTTCCAACAACACAAAACCGATGTAAAGTTGCATTCACTACCCGTTCCAAGGCTGTTTGTACACACATGGGCGTCGAAGAACCAATGGAGGTCAAATGTTTGTCGGAAAAGGACGCATTTGATTTGTTCCAAAAGAAGGTTGGACAAATCACACTAAGGAGCGATCCAGGGATCCTCGAACTTGCAAGAAAAGTTTCAAAAAAATGTTGTGGCCTGCCATTGGCACTTAATGTTGTAGGCGAGGCCATGTCATGCAAGAGAACAGTACAAGAATGGTGTCATAGTATAAATGTTTTGACTTCATATACTGTAGAGTTTTCCAGCATGAAAGATAAGGTACTTCCACTTTTGAAGTATAGCTATGATAATCTTGAGGTGGAGCAGGCCAAAATGTGTTTACTGTATTGCGCCTTATTTCCCGAAGATGATAGAATTCCTACAGAGAAATTGATAAGCTTATGGATATGCGAAGGGATTATAGATGGAAGTGAAGGTATAGAAAGAGCTGAGAACAAGGGTTATGAGATAATTGGTAGTCTTATTCGTGCATCTTTGTTAACGGAGGTCAAATGGTATGGAACACATAATATATGTATGCATGATGTAGTTGGTGAGATGGCTTTATGGATTGCATCTGATTTGGGAACACAAAAAAATGCTTTCATTGTGCGGGCAGGTGCTGGGTTAAATGCAATGCCAAAGGTCGAGAATTGGAATATTGTAAGAAGAATGTCACTGATCAAGAACAAGACTCACCATCTCGCTGGCAGTCCTGAATGTCTCAAGCTCACAACTTTACTCCTACAAAAAGCTAATGTGGCAAATATCTCGAGTGAATTCTTCAAGTCCATGCCAAGACTAGCTGTTTTGGATCTATCATATAATGCAAATCTGTTTGAACTGCCAGACGGAATATCAGAACTAGTTTCCTTGCAATATTTAAACTTGTCGTATACAAGTATACGTCAGTTGCCCAGAGGTGTGCAAGAGTTGAAAAAGTTAATTCACTTGGATTTGGAGGAGACAGATAACCTTTCAAGTATTGATGGGATATTATCAAGTCTGCATAGCTTGAAAATATTGAATTTATCTCGTGCTGGATTTTCATTGGATTGCAACGTACTGGAGGAGCTGCAAACTTTGGAAGATTTAGAAGTTTTAACCATAGATATCAATCTCCTACAATGTCTGGAACAATTTTTGAGCTCTAGTAGATTGACGTGTGCAACAAGAAATCTAACGATCAGGGGTATGCGTCTCGAATCATCTGGAATCTCACTTCCAATATCTATGGACAATCTACGTGAATTAAACATTGTGTGGTGCAGTATCTCTGAGATAAAGATGGGAACGATATGCATCAAAAGCAAGACAATTTCTCCTCTGCACATTCCGAAGACCACATGCTTCTTGAGCCTCTCTAAGGTGATTATAATGGATTGCAAATGCCTGAAGGAGTTGACGTTATTGATGTTCGCTCCAAATCTTAGAATTCTCTCTGTTCAAATTGCAAACCAGTTAGAAGATATAATAAACAAAGATAAAGGTGGCCAAGGCGAAAAATCAGGGATTGTTCCATTTCGAAGGCTGGAATTTCTTACGCTGGCTCAACTACCAAAGCTGAAGAATATCTACTGGAGTCCTCTACCCTTTCCATATCTTAAGAGAATCGATGTAATTTCATGTCCTAATCTGAAACAGCTTCCACTCAATTCCCAAAGTGGCAAGTATGGTGAAGATGGACTAATCATAAGATACACAGTGAAAGAATGGATTGAAACTGTGGAATGGGAAGACGACGCTACAAAAACTCGCTTCTTCCGTGCCAACCTTGGCGGATTTGATCAAGACATGTCTCACACGAACTAGCAACTCCTTTAGAGTGACACTTATCTCACTCATTGGTTTTGGATCACTCGAACTTTACATATCCCCAATGCCCGCTAGCGTATTGTGCAATTTTATTGGGGCTCCAAGTTCTTTTTCCAAGGCTGGTTAGCATGTACACTTCGTTTATTATTTGTAAAACCTATAAAAGCTCTTCCGTCTCGGTACCAATATATTACAGTAACATAAGCCCCAAAGGAAAAAAAAAAACAAAATCATCATTTAACAGAACATAGGCATAACGTAGCTGTAGTAAAGAAAAAAAGGAACCTGTCGTCAAAGGTTACAAAGGGCCCATACGCAAAAATGAAAAATCACCATAAAACAAATTCACAAGAATATGGCTACTTAACTCAAATTAAAGGCAGATTTGATCCGGTAAAAAAATTCCAAAACGTTTCTTTTTCTCTACTTTTGTCTTGTGTTGTTTCGTTTCATTGATTCCCCAGGGAATGTGGGAACCACTAAAAGATGAAAAACTGAATGAGCCTTACACGAGTCTTAGTTCGTACTCCCCAGCCATGGTTATGTATCTCACCCATGGAAGTGCTTGGTACCCGCTCTTCTCGATTATCTTCAGGTACCGAACCTACACCACAAACCAGCATATATAGTACATGAAAGTTTTATCACTTGACTTATGGAAGAGGCAGTTTACGCAGAAGATGTGGAAACAAAAATACTAAGCTTACCTGAATGCCTGAGACAGTGAAATAAGGGATCTCGAATTTGACACGGATGGGAGCTTTTCGCTCAGGAGTTGCTTCTTCTGCAGTTATACTGGGAAGATGGAACTCTGCCCTCAACATGTACTCCTATATTGTTTTTCTAGAGGTTAGCATTGATACTATTTGGCTGATAGTTTCAACTGAATTCAGTAAAAAATCGTCTACCTTGTTCCCGGGGAAAGATTTGATTTTCCAGACCAATGCATCCTTTTCAGGAGCATAAGCGGCAGACCCTAGAGATGTCCTAACAGTGGGGTTAGATGCATCAGTTGGTACAGGTATCTCAATCTCAACATTCGTTGCGGTGCTGCAAATAGAAAGTTCTCAATCAAATGTTTGATAAATATGATCGATCATCAGGATAAGTGCATTAGAGTGAAAGAGACAAGGAAAAATGGCATGAGGAATAATGCCATCGAAATATGTTTACCTTCGTTCTTTGAACTGACTTCTAGCTTTTACAAGCATCTCAACACGACTTCTGGAATGCCTTTCTATTTGCGCTTCCACCCATATAAGAGGCTTTACCTGAACAATAGGTATGAAAAAGAAACACATCATGAGTTAAATATGCTGAGGACAAGTAAAAAGTTCACAGCCATGCTAATTCCACAGGTGAAAACCTGAGTACTGAGTCTATATGTCATCAGATCAAAAGCACCATCCGGTGGTATGAAAGATATCGTCCTGTCATTTTCAAAACGGGCCAATCGAACACACCTGCGTAAAAGAAAGAAAGAAAAATATATAAAACTCAAGTATAGAATCTTTTAAACTAGAAGGGTTGGAGCTTAAGACACGTACTGATGGAATTTGATGTCCTCTAGATCAATGGCTTTTCCCTTTGTTGCCCGTCCCTGAGCTTCCAGCAATACTCTATCATTCAGACCTAACTTACACTCTGGCATTCCCCTGCAGCAGAATGGATCAAAGAGCAAAGGAGTCAATCAAAAGGGCTAGAGAAAAAAAATCAAAGCAAAACGGACTTGACATTTCAACATGCTTTAATTGATTAGGAACATACGTCAAATAAGTTCGCATCTTGAGGGCTCCAACAACATCAGACCTGATGATTTGCCCATTACTGTTGACAAGAATATTTACATTCTCAATTACATCCAAGAAAACCTGGATAAACAAGAGCAGGCAGCCATGATTCACAAAACCCAAACACAGCAGACAGAAAACAAATGTTCTTCTCTTGTGAACGAAAGCACTCACCTCGTTCTTCTTGTACTGTAATCCCTCACTCCTCCAAGAGACAGCATTAGTGACAGCCATTGGAGGTCTCTGCGTAACTTCCATTCTATAAGCATCAGTCTTGATGAATTCACTGAGGATTCTTGCTTCGGTATACTGAGGATACCCAAAGTCCATCATCTCATCAAGTAACTCATACTGCCATCACCATAAATCAATTTTCAAAACTTTATAAACGCCAAATAGTAGCATAAGAGGTATGTCATAAGTAACATACCACAACCACAAAGTTATCCCTGAGTGATTCTTCCTCTAACTCCTCAAAGTAATGCTTGAAGACCTATACAGATCATATGTAACAGCATTACAATTATGTCTATGCCTTGAAAGCTTGAGGAAATTACTTACATCGACAACGCGGTGAAGGAAGGAGAGAAGACTGGCAGCATTACAATTCTGTCTGGAGGCTATCATAAGGTAAACATTACTATGCTGAACAAACATGTAAGTGACCCCATTATCGTAAGCAACTGGATCATTTGACTGTGAATCACCCTGTAACAACCAAACAACATATTGAGAAACGCCTAATTTTAAATGGAAACCATTTTAACCTAAACCAATGAAGGAACAGTTTCAAATTCCGATCAAGTGTGTTCGTTATGAGGGAGAAGAGGAAGAAGAAGACAGCAGACCTCTTTCTCGATGAGCTTAGAGAAGAAGCGCTCGGCTTGAGCGGCGGAGACGTCGCCGCGGTAATCACGCCAGACGAGAACGCGGCCCTTGATATCGAGGAGAAACAGCGCAGAAGCAGCTCCTGCCATGTTTCTTCTTCTTCTCTAGAATCGTTGAATCAGATCCAAATCTACGAGATCTGATAGAAACAATGTGACGTAGGTGAATCTACAAGGAGATCTTTTGCAGCTGAGATTTTTATTTTCAACTTTGGCATTCGAATTTTGCTTCTCAGGATCTCATGATTTCCCTATTGTTCTTCATCATGTGAAAGGGTGAAACTAGAATTTAGCAAATATTCGGAAAAAAGCTTCCTATTTTCTCAGCACGACGTCGCTTTCCCCTGTATTTACCTTGGCCTTCTCCTATATTGTTGATATGATAGATTTAGAGTTGATTACATCCATAACCATTTTTTACTTTACTTTATATAATCAGAGACACATCTCCTATATATTATTTGAGAATCATTTAAAAAGTTGTAACCTTAAGTTTATAAGAATTAAAAATAACTACAATCCTACGTGGCATAACTCTTCGTCTTCTATTTCAAATCCTAAGGATTCTATAGCATATGATATAATGTATAGTTTAAAAGTTATATTCTCTAGCAATATAATATTCCGTAGGGTATAGTTGATCGTATATATCAAATATTTATTGTTTCGCATGTTTTCCTTAAATAAAACTTACGGAATTACCTAATGTGATCAAAATATATATATGACAATTAATGATTTTAAACAATAAAGATTTGATAACAATCTGTATACTTTTTTCATTTTGTTTATTTCTTTATTATTAAAATAAATACACAATTACATTAATTATATAATAAAAATCTAGATTTTTTTGTGTATGTTGTATTTCGAATTTTTCAAAATGAGTATAAATTACTAAAACTGTTAAAAGTCCCACATAAACTTTTAAGATCAAGGTTTAAATTTGTTTTCTATACTAAAATATAATGATTATAAGACCATATGAAGAAATAATTTTAGTTTATATATATTTAATATCATTTTAATTAAACTATACATCGTATGAAAATACATACTTATATTTTGATATTTGCCTTGAACATATATTGAAAAGTTAATATTTTAATTTTGAAATATGTCATTGTTTTTTTAAAATGATTATAAATTATTGAAACTACTAAACATCTTACATTAAAAAAAAAAATCGTTGGTGTAAAGTTTTGTTACACAAATATGCAAATAATCATAAAATCATATGAGTAGAAACCTTAATAAATATTCATATTAAAACTATGTTATATTACTATGTTTATTTCATTTAAATTTAATTATATATCATATACAATATATAAGATTGATTATTTTGATATATTTACCCTAATTGTGAATAAACAAGAGTAATAGTTAAATTTATATGCATACGCCAATTTATTACATAATAGTAACTGATTTCTTAGTTATTTAATATATATTTATTATTTTTTATTCATAATATGCAGAAAAGTATAAAATAAATAATAACTATAAAATACTTATTGTGCATAAAGTGCAGATCTTAACCTAAGTATGCATCTCTTTAATTATTTTAAATTTTAAGTATTTTCTGAAACAAACGAAATGAGACGGATGATGTAGGAATAGTGTCTATGTGAGCTGATGGTGTATTAAACGGTGAAGCTTCAGTATAACTATGACATAGCTCTCATCACTGCATTAACAACTGCAGTGTTATGAAGTAATCTATTGATTGTGTACAGTTTATCTGCACCTACTTCACCAAGCAAGACATCACCAGAAACCAGTCCACTAGTCTCCGAAGATCATGTTCGTGCAGAGCAATACCACAACGACTCTATCCACCCCATGTCCATGATATTTCCATGCATGATACTTCTATCCATGGCATTTATCCACAAAGGCCCTTCTACACGATACTTCCATATACTATAATGTATTTTTATGTGGACGATGTATTCGGTAAGATTATGTAGACGAAGTTATGTGGACGAGATTACATAGACGAGGTTATGTGAACAAGATAAATTTAATTATAAATGCAAAAAATAGAATTGTTATGTGAACGCAATAGAAAATTCAAAATATAGTTTTGATAACATAAAAAAATCTAATTTTGTAAAGGAAGAAGATGAGATACGAACTGTTTAGCTTAGTTTTGAACCATGATGATTTGATTTTTCTATTGTTAACTCAAGTGTATATTTAAATTTTCTATTTTTTTGATGTTTTAACAATTTGAATATATAAAAACATAGATTTGTTTTTTAACAAAACTATGAAACATGAATTTTATAACTCTGAGACATAGATAACTATAAACACTAATCCACATGTACCTCTTCATGCTTATATGTCTACATGTAATTATTTATGTTTTTCAAACATCCATATATTACTCATTCATAACATAATCATTAGATACATGTACATGTATAGATTTTAAAATATAAAAAAAAATATCAAAGTGGATATCAAATTATAGAGAATAAAAAACATAATTTATTATATCAAAAACTTTTTATATGTATCTTTAATTTTACAATAAACAAAAATAAAGTAAGCTAAATAATTATAAAAACTCACCTTCTCTTTCCTCTTTTTCATCCCACCAAAGGTAAATCCTCAACTCTCTCTTTAGTTCTAATGAAAAAGTGCCTTGCAAGTGCATTGTGTCTTTGGGTGTAGTTAAAAATAATAAAAATGTCTCTAGATGTAAAAAAAAAGCTTTAGTTATTTACTATCCAATTAGAGCTCTAAATGGTGACCAAGGAAATGAGTGGGAATAGTTTGATTCCTTACCATTCTTTATAATTTACACCATTTACAAAGAATTAATGTATATTCCTTATGGTTTCTTAATATTCCTTAACATTTAAGGAATAATAGACGATAATTATTCTTTATCAAATTATGAGAGGAATTAGATTTTCCTCTTGTTTTATTCCCTTTCATTCATTTCTTTTTTATTCCTCATATTCCTTTAGTGATTACCAGTTATAGTGTTTAGTCTGCACGTGGGAAAATATTAATTTTATAAAAACTTAAAATAAATATATTATCAGTTTAAATACATAAAAATAAATTACTATTCTTATATTTAAAATATTTAATAAAATTAAAAAATATACTCTTCATATATATATAATCGTAATATAAATAGTTTCTATCAAGTAACATAAATTTAAAAACATTAACGCTTTGGAAAGATTTAATAATAAAATAAATATTAAACTTTTTCATATGATAAAGTTTTTCAAAATAATAAAATTATCTTGTATCTTACAAAATAAATTTGAAAACATTAATATATACATAAAGTTATATAATATATAATATAGATCTACCATTTATAATTTAAAACTCTTTAGAAAAATCTAATGTAGGATATTTTTTTGAATAACACAACATAACCTATTTTATACAATGATAATTATCAAATCAATGAAATATGTTTTTAATTATGGTTAATTATATGTGTTATTAATGTTAATAAAGACTTATAACATTATATTTTTTTTGATAATGGTTATTATCACATCAATGAAATTCGTTTTTGATTTATGGTTAACTATATATTAATCTGGTTTTAGTATATGGTTAGTTAACAGAAACTATTATTAGATAATGATAATCATCCAATCAATGCAATTTGTTTCTAATTTATGGTTAGTTATATACTAATTCAATTTTACTTTATGGTTAATTAATATAAAATATTTTTATATAAAAATAATCAGCAAATCAATGAAATTTGTTTCTAATTTATGGTTAATTATATATTAATTCGTTTTAATTTATAGTTAATTATATATTAATAAATCTAATTATTCATTAAAGATAATAATTAATCATTAGTCAAAATCATACGCTATGACAAATAAACAAAACTACCTAAAATTATAAAGAACATGACAAATCAGCAAATTTACTTATCAAATAATAGTATAGATATCTATTGTTGGTTCGGGTAGTTTCAGGTTTGGTTCAGTTCAATTCAGACAGTATATATATCTAGGAACCATAAAATACTTGGCAAAAGTTAGGTTTCCGTTTGGTTCTGACTATTGTTCAGTTATTTTGGGTAATCAGATAAATTATTGGGTATTTAGGTATAGAATAGTTAATATGATTCGGATAAAGATGTCAGATAATTTGGATTATTTGGGATATTTCACTTACAAATATCCGGATAGTTTCGGATAGTTCAGCTACTTTTTATAATTGTGTTTTAAATGATTTTGGATAGACTTCTGAATATATATATATATATTTTTTTTTGAGTAACTCCTCAACCCGGAGTTCCACCAGAAGAAGCAGGGGCTACGGGTGCTGCTGAATCTTCTATTGGTACATGGACAACTGTGTGGACCGATGGTCTTACCAGCCTTGATCGTTACAAAGGAAGATGCTACCACATCGAACCCGTTCCAGGAGAAGAAAATCAATTTACTGCTTATGTAGCTTACCCTTTAGACCTTTTTGAAGAAGGTTCGGTTACTAACATGTTTACTTTGATTATGGGTAATGTATTTGGGTTCAAGATATGTATATATATATATGTGTGTGTATGTGTGTTTATGTTATACATATATATAATTAATATTTTTATACATTTGGGTATACGTTCGATTTTCAGTTCAGTATTGGTCTAGTTCAGTTATTTTGGATATAGAAATACAAAAACCATTCTGAATATTTGAAGGTTTCAGTCCCGTTCCAGCTTCAAGGATTTTGTCTTTTTTTATCCAGGTATAATCTTTGTATTTGCTTTTCATTCTTCTCTTTGTTTTCAATTGGCGCTGAAACTTGGATCTCCCTGGTAAGTTAGAAGTTTCTGTCAAAACCTGTTGTTCTGGCCACGGTGTGTTGTTCCGAGGATGCTAGCCGGTCAAGAGTGTGGTGGTTCGTCATCCTATGTGTCCAACCACTAGTCACCTTCCCTCTTCTTTTTAGATTTAGTGATGGTTTTGCTTGGAGCTCGCGACAAACTCTATATGCTCTTAATCCGGTGGTGGCTTACAAAGAGGGCCCCACTTATTCCTTGGTTGGTTTTGATAGTATTTTCTCTGGTCTCAACTCAGAAACAGAAAATTGGTGTGTCATAGGTGTTTATGAGAAGAACATGTTTAGCATATTTGTTGTGGAAATTTTTGTTTCAAGTCACTTCTCCATTTCAAGTCGTGAAGGAGTCCTCACTGTCTTTTAAATAAGAGTCGTTATGATGTTCTCGCTGATCTCTTAGTTCTTCGGTAGCTTATTTTTTGTTGTTGGAAGCAATATAATGAGTATGAGGTTTTGAGTCAACCAGAT